TTAAACAATATATGACTACTATTTAATTTTCCGAAACAAAATATTTATCTATCTAACACAGAAATAAATAAAAACCGAAAATCTACTTTAAGATTGTTAGACTTAGCGGTGAGTGTGCGTGTAAATTTAAATGTATAATTAAAATAAACAATAAAATAAGATAATTCAGAAAATAATTATATAAATTAAATTCCTGATTAAATGCTTACAAAAATTAAAGTCGAAACTTGTGTTGGACACAATCTCCTTAAAGTAGATTTTGCCCTCGCTCTTGTGTTTCAAGTTTTAACCGGCGTTTACTTCCCAGGATGCAACGTCTAATACTTGAATTTGCAGCACTACAAAATCAAGTCTGGCAAACCAAAACTTTGTTGGGACTCATTCTTTTTTTCCTAAAATAAAATACAAAATAGATGCAAAAAATAGAATGACGAAAAGATGAAGAAAAAAAAAAGAAAAGCTCTCCAAAAATTCGATCAAAATGAATATTAGATAGCCAACTATTTATAAGAGAAATGGTGGCTATTCGAACAAGTATCAACAGGAAAAAACTTATACGGAACAGGAATAGATTTGGTCAGAATAGAAACAGATCTGTTCGGGTGGGAATTGCACCTATTCAGGTGGACTTTCTGAACCTGTTTGGATGTGGACCTTATGAACCTATTCGGATGTGTTTGGGTGAAGAAAAAAAAAACTAGACCAATTTATTTTAAATTTTCAAACCAAAATTAAAAATAAATAAATAAATTACAAAAGTTTTTGGCTAAAAAAGATAAGTATTGAGTCGGATAAGCCCAATCCAACCTCACACCTCGTGCCCAAGCCTAGCCGATCGGACGGACTGTGACGACGCGCATGTGGTTTTTATTTTGGGTCCAATGGGTCTAACTTACTTTACCCATAATCTCACATTTTCACAAACTTGGGTACCCATTGGGGCCCATCTCAAGTATACCAAGCTAAGGTATATAAACTCATTCAAAACCTTAAGCCTTTCCAATGTGGGACAAACACATTTCACAAATATATAGGAAACCCACCCAAATCCATTTCCACGATCTCGAAAATGCGCGTTGAATTCTCATTCATTCGGAAATGATTTTGAGCAATCAAATACACGGTTTTATTGAACCCAATGAAAAACGTAAAAAATAATGCTTGGGTCCCACCTTAAAAATAATGCTTGCGAAGCTATTTTCCAACAGGTGTTTGTATTTATACCATTACAAAAAGATGATCGTTTCTTTTTAGCCGTTAAATTTATTCTCTGTTTGGAAAAAGAGCCCTTCATTTTTTTTAATTTTTTTTTTCAAGACTGAAATAGAGTCGTTGCCATATGTGCCAATGAAGAAGAAAAACAACTGTTTCCCTTTGTCCCTCCAGTTTTTGTTCATTTTCAAACCATTTTAGCAACGACAATGCCATGCACAACAATTCATGTGTTTCTTCCTCTGTGTGTAGTATTGCTGTTACAGAAATAGTTTGAGAAGATGAATAAAAACTAGAGGAAGAAAGGGAAACAGTTACTTTTCTTCTTCATTGACACAAATGGCAGCTATCAAATTTGGCAATTGCCATAACCAACCATTGGTGCATCTCCAATGGTTTGCCATTGGAGTTGCTATTGCCATAATTTGGCAGCTGCAGCAGAGAAGTGTGCTCTAATGGTTTGAAATGGCAGCTGTCAAATTTGACAAATGCCAAAACTTGTGTCAAATTTGACACAAACTTTGACAGCCGCTGTAATTGCTAACTCATCAAGCAAAACCTTTCTCCCTTCCTCCCAACAAAACATCTCTCCCTCTCTTCCTCATGTTATTTTTGCAGAACCAAACACAGAAACTGATGTGTTTGGGATGACTAGCCAGTATCTGACCATTGGAACACCAGTGCTATAATTATTCTATTTATTGTGAAATTATAGCAATAACAATGCTATTATAATATTTGCCATTGAAGATGCTATAATTTCAATTAGTTCAATTTTTGACATATATATATATATATTATATAATTAAAAAATGATTTATTGTTACGTGTAGTATTGTCACAAAGTAATTAATAAAAGGAAAAATTACCTTCAGTTATAATCTTTAAATTACACATTATTAAAAAAAATTACAATTATAATTATTAATATGCATAATGTTTATTATTTTTTATTAAAAAAATTAACAACCACTAATATGCTATTTTTCCTTAATAAAAAAGTAAAATCACTTTACAATATTGTCACGTCAGTACCGTTAATGATAATGAATAATTGCTCATACAAGCCACCTTTTTTTTTCAGTTCATGCATCTGATATCAAAGTAGGATAAAGTCATCATAGCTAATCCATTAATTATATGCGTTCAATTTCACCTGAGAATAGCCAAAACCAAATGCACTTAACCATGAAAACATGCGTGCATATAAATAAACATGTGACCAAATGCGCTAAAAATTTGAGGGGTTGGACCAAGTTGTACAAACTCAGAAGAAAAAATCGAAAATTTAATAAGAATTTTTCATTAAATGTCAAGATTTATTTATATTGTGGAACCACAACAACGTCTTTAGATATATACACTATCAATTTGATATTTTGAGTATTTTCTGATTTTTATTTTTTTTTGAACCATAGACTTTTAGATATATTGTTATATCTGATCATTATTTAGTGAGGATAATTATATTTTAGTCCCTAAAATATAAATTTTGTGTCATTTTGATTTTGATAATTTAATTATGTTAGTTTGATCCCCACAATATTTATACATTAGAGTTAAATTGATACAATTTAAATATTGACGACCAAAATAACATGGAACTCATATTTTGGAAATAAAAAATATAATTAACCCTATTTAGTATATTGTGAGACATTAATTACATGTGCATCCTTAAGATCAATAATATTATAATAATCATATTTTCTCATTATATTATGTTGACAACTGCAATTTATCATTGTGTACTCCGATCTGTATTTAATAGTGTCGTTCGTATAATGTGTTTGACATTCCCACAGTTTTTACAATTTGACCAACAATGATATGATATGATATGTATCAACTTTTGATTTATTACAAACTAACATAATATGGATCAACTCTATTACTACATTATTATAGGTGAATTTATTAAACTAAAATTGTTAATCTCTAACCATTCTCATTCAATAAATGGTGGAATCCATAATTTCATGAGTTATGGGTGATATCATATAGTATCTCTTATTTTGTTTACAATATCATGTGTCAACACTATTGATAATAAGCGTAAGTTAATAAACAAGTATAAGTGATGAAATACGTTAATCGTAATATTATAAATTTAAAATTGTTACCTAGAATTTTATTCAAAAAAATCTACAAGTGGTTGAAACCCATTCTTAACATGGACCTACAAAATACCAGCTCAATCTCAACCTTATATTCCTTTTCCTTGTAGATTTTTGGGTAATAATTTTAGGTGAATAGATATTCTAATTCACTAAACCAATAAAACGTTGACACATGAATTGGGTTAACCATTACGTATCATATTAGTTGTTATGTAATTGGATTTTAAACTTTCAATACCGTTATTTATTGATATATTATTTGATATCAATTGATATTTAACCGTTTTGTCAGTATAATAATAATAATTATATGCCAAGGCTAAAGAAGATTCAAAACAAATCATCTCATTCAATGTCAATCAAAAAATATCTATAAAGACCACATACAATATTTATAGTCAAATGCACTTTACCTACTGTAGTTACAATTGACTATGGTTCTAACAACTTTACAACTGCTATAATTAAGCTAACTAGTCTAACTGACTTTGACTAATCTAATCCCACTGAAGATTCATTCAAAATTATTTAAACTGATATCTCTGATATTGGTTATAATGGCATTAATGCCACCATAACCAATATTCTTCAGTGGGAATATTCTTCTTCAGAAAGACCATCTCAAGTCATTTGAACAAATTGTTCGTTATTATTCTAGTGTGTGGAATAAAACACAGAAAAATTATAGTACTATTAAAAAAGAAATTTTATCTATTGTATTATGTATGAATAAATTTCAATATGATATTTTAAATCAACACTTTTTAGTCCGTGTTAATTGTAAAATTACTAAATATGTTTTAGAAAAAAAACGTTCAAAATATTGCTAGTAAGCAATTTTTTGTCCGCTGACAATATATTCTCAGTATTTTTTATTTCACTATTGAACATATTCAAGGTAGTCAAAATTCTATCCCACTAGTAATAAATGATTATGAAATGGAAGTCATAACCTTAATTGGAGAAATTTTTGTATGCCAATAGGGTATCACGTGGCACTACTTTCTGCTAATCACAAATATATATGCCCAATTCTTCCTTAATTGACACAGGCACTGATCTTAATTGTATTCAAGTAGGCTTAATTTTTACTAAATATTATCATAAAACAAGTGAACAATTAAGCTCAGCTAATGATAATCAAATGCGTATTAAAATAAATTACCTAAAATTCATATTTGTCAAAATAATATTTATTTTAAAATATTATTATTATTATCATATGATAAGATACCAAGGAGATTAGTAAGTTATATTACAATGAAAATGTTACAGTCGTACCATCAATTCGAACCTGAACTTCTAACTTTTGCACTATCTCAAGAGATAGTTACATAAATCACTGGACCAATTACCTATCTATATAATGGTGTATATCTAAAGAAGTTGTTGTGGGTCCACTATATAAATAAATCTTGACATTTAATGAAAATTTTTAAATAATTTTTCGATTATTTTTTCAAAGTTTGTAGAACCATTGTTAGTCCACCCCTCAAATGTTTCAGTACAATTATTTAAAACTATACACATAATATTGTAAGCAAAATATAACAGGAGAAATTACCTATCAGTAGTAGGTTTACCAGAAAATTATTACAAATCATGAAAAAAGTTTATATTTTTAATTGTTAATATGTATAAAATTTATTATTTATTTATAATTTATTTTAAACATTACACTGAATTAAAATTCCTCTAATATGATAAAGAAGTATAATTATGGTAACATTATTACGCCAAAGACTAGTCGAAACGAAATAAAAAAAAGAAAAGAAAAAAGTACTAAAATATTAAGATATGCAGATGCATTGTTGCTCTAGTTGTAATCCCATAAAAACGGTTCCTCAAATTGAAAACCAACCTCAAACCACGAAGCATAAGAGAACTCAAGTGACCTATCCATAGAATCCAGTAACAGATCAGGAAGGTCAAACAAGGTATCATCATCACCATCTTCACTTTCTTGGCATGTTCCCAATTCTTGAGACATTGTGATCTGATCATCATCATGTTGGCTTGGCTGATCTTCACTGTCCATTTTTTCCGGTTCATCGAATTCACCGGAAGCTGCTAAGGCGGCTGCAGCTTGGATATCTTTAGGGGCAGTGGTGGCGGGGCGAGGAAGTTTGTGAGCCAATTCCGGGAAGTTGAGAGTCACTGAATGGCCTCTAATGGCTAGTGCAGCTACATCATGTGCTCGAGCTGCCATTTCAGCTTTTGGGTATGTTCCGAGCCATATTCTGGACTTCTTCCTTGGTTCGCGTATTTCCGACACCCATTTCCCCCATGTTCGCAATCTAACTCCCCGATATGTACGGTGGTGCTTACCCGTAATGACACGCTTGTCTTGCTCCTTTGTACTAGTTTTGTTGACTGGTTGTTTTGCTGTTTTTGATCCTTCGTTGGTGAGAGGTTTCGAATCCATGAATGTCGTTAGAGAAGTGATTATTTTTTTGGTTTTGACGATGACGATTGTGGTGGTGATGGTGGTGAAGTGATTTTAGCTCTAGTTGTGGCAGTGATTGCTGTGTTGTTGTTGCTGGTGGTCGTGGTGAAAGTGATTCAAGTTCTAGTTGTAGCGGTGACGATAATGTTGCAGGTGATGAAGTGATTATGGTTGGCGGTTGTAGTGTTGGTGGCAGTAAAGTGAATTCTGGTTCTAGTTGTAATAGGAATAGTTAGTCGTGGTGGTGGAATGATTTTGATTTTGGTTTCGATTTCGATAATGGTGATAGTAGAGTGATCCTAGTTCTAGTTCTAGTTTCAATTATGATTGTAATGATTATAGTGGCAGGGTTAATAATAATAAATTGATACGGTGATGGTTGTGGTGACACTAGTGTTGATAGAGATAGAGACGAGGGGTGTGTGGATTTGTGCTTCATAGTCCACATAGAGAGGGCGGATGATTGGGAGATGGTGGTCTTACAAGAGAATGTGGTGGTAATACATACAGAAAATGATGTGTGTATGTACCTTTTATATTCCTTCATGGGCCCTAAGAGCAATAAAGAGATTGGTCCTGTTTTTTGAAAACAACTCAAGAGAAGTACTTTTTGAGTTTTGGCATATCCAAGGACATCTTATCACTATGCTCTGTCAATGATTTGAGCATCAATTTGCTCTTCCGCCGAAATTTTGTCGCAATAATATATTAGAAAAGATTATGATATTTGAGAGAGTACTTTATAAGTAAATTGAGCCGAGCTGAGTAATGGGCCGTTTTATGGGTCACGGCAGAAAAGGACTTGGCAAGTGGACCGTAGTGTTAGCACGGCCCAAATGGAATGACAAACACCACGGTCGGAGTGGAGTTAGTTCAGTCTTAGCGTTTGGACCCGAGGTATGATGGCTTCTCACAGTAGACCTCGCCCTGGTTAGCGCGGTTGTAGCTTGCCGTAGATTAGCCTGGTTTTCAACAGGCAACCGAGGTACAATTGAACGAGAGCCGAGCTAGCTTGGCGTTGCGCATTGGAGCACCAAGCTTGATTAGCTCGGTCTTAAGTTAACAACCCGGTTGGAGTATGCCTAACCAGGATACAAGCACTGAAGGGAAGATCTGAGCTGGGTTAACTCGGTTGTACTGTCATCCAACCGGGGTAAAACCATCTCATTTGGTTTAAGCAGTGAGGGGGGTATTGAAGGATAAGCACTATCTTTCAGGAGTGTGATTCTTAGAAGGACTCTGTATGGAGGAATAAGAGTCCTACTAGGATTGCCACGCGGAACCTATAAAAGCTCATAACCTCACCTATGGAGAGGTAACACAACTTTGATTCCTGAATACACAGAGTTTTTGTCTATTTGTCTATTTTCCTGACTTAGGCATCGGAGAGGTATCCGGCACACATCCGCCAGCTAGCTCACGTTTGTGTTTTCAGGGAGTAAAGAACGACGTTTGGAGGAGCGCAGACTTGATCAACAGGATTATACGAGAAGATTATTTCTTGCTCGTACAATTGGCGCCGTCTGTGGGAATCACAGAAAGAACAAAATCTTTTGATCAAAGTTTTCCTCGCTAGATTAGACGCAATGGCGCACAATGAAGATTTGCCGCAGTCCGCCATTGACGGACAAACCCCAAAGGGAAGTGGGAGGCGCGAAGGTTTTCCTTTCATCCCTCCTATGGCAGATTTAGAGCCCCAGCGACAGAACCCCCGGAGGGATGCAAGGGGGAGGCGGGGTAACAGCCCCCGTCGCTCATCAAGTCTTGATAGGCAGAGGCGGAAGATCGACCCTCAAGTTTTGGAGGATCGGGTAAAGGAGCATGACGAGTTAATCAGGAAGATGGCGGCGGACATGGAATTGATGAAGCGTCAGATAAAAGGAAAGGGGATGCGACACGAGAGGGGCACAAAAGCAACACGCCTCCTCGCCACTCAGAAGATCGTGGTAGGCATACCACGCCATCACAAGCAGAGAGTAGGAGCCTCAAAATAGGCGACACTCAATCAAGGACTTCTAGGACTCGTTACTCCAGGTCTGAGAGAACGAGAACATTGAGGTCTTACATTGAGGGAAGCACCTATCGGCCCTCACGTACGCACTAGACATCATCTATGCAAACGGAGTTGCCTAGATCGTCCAACTTACAGACTGTGCTTGAAGAAAGGGCACGACGGAAGGAGGATGCCAGGGCATGTGACCCACACAGAGTTTCAGCCCTTCAGCGGTTGGCTCCTCGGACGCATGGAAGCGTCGAGGTAGGAATGCCAATACCGCATCTTGCTTACGAACCAACAAATAAAGCATTGGCAAGGCTACATAGCTCGCCGTTCGTTCCGGCGATTGAGAACGCACCTTTGCCTTCAGGCTTTATCCAGCCTAAATTTACGACTTACGAGGGGAAGACAGAACCTTACATGCACCTAAGCCACTTTCGCCAGGTCATGGCAGTATACCGGCAGAACGAGGCTTTGATGTGCATCCTATTCCCATCCAGCCTTGGCAACCTAGGTTTAACCTGGTTCGAAAGGCTACCAGAAGGCAGCATAGTCTCCTGGGCGCAATTAACGGAGGCGTTCATGACAAGGTTCAGAACGAACACCAAGATGACAGTAGAGATCGATCAGCTACTCTCCATTAACATGGGCGACAAGGAGACGTTGAGATCCTACAACAGTCATTATTGGGAGACCTTCAACCAGATAGGAGATTGCCCCACAAATCTCGCCATCGCGCAATACAAAAGGGGTCTTCCAGTCGGAAACAGACTGAGGGACTTAATTACCATGACGCCCCCCTCACAATGGAAGCCTTAATGGAGAGGGTACACCAGCACATTCGAGTGGAGGAGGATGGTGCTCGTGCTAAAACAAAGTCTGGTACAACCACAATACCAGATAAAAAGACTTCGGCAAAAGTCAACGCGGTAGAACGTCCAAGCAAAAACGGGCAAGGCAGGCGGGACAACGGAGAGGACCAAGATAAAAGGTGGTTAAGAATCCGCACTGCCATCACCACGGTGTTTAAGAAACCGATCTATCGGATTCTCAGTGAAATACATGATGAGCCTTTCGTCCGATGGCCAGCTAAACTAGGGGAAGCGCAAAAAGACTATGACGAAAGATCTCGGTGCACCTTCCATAAGGAAAAAGGGCACCGCACTGAAAATTGCACGCCATTGAGACAACACCTGGAGGAGTTAGTGGCAGCTGGGCACCTTGACCAGTACATTGAGGGAGGGACGCAGCCAGCCCCCCAAAACCACGATCATCCAAATTGAACGCCGATCGACGCCCCACCTCAAGGCGTGATAAACGTAATACATGGGGTGTTCTAATCTGAGCGAGTATGTGAGCTCAAGGGAATAATCAAGAAGGCTGAGCACTTAAGAGAGGTATTAAGTGCGCAACCTACCATTAAAAAGAGGAGAACAGAGGCCACGAACGTCATGTCTTTTTCAGACAGAGACTTGGCAAGGATATATTGCCCTCGAATGATGCACTGGTCATCACTCTCCGCGTCAAGGATTATGATGTCAAGCGAATTTTGATTGACCAAGGGAGCTCATGTGAGATAATGTATTACGAAACCTTCAAACAACTGAAACTGGAGGACAAAGACTTGGCACCTGCCGTATCTCCCCTGATCGGATTCAACTCAATGCCAGAGTGGCCAGTTGGCAAGATTATCCTCCCAGTCAGAGCAGGAAGCATGACGAAACAAGTGAAATTCTGGGTATTGAAAGTCCCTTCCACTTACAACATAGTCTTAGGAAGGACATGGCTGCATGCCATGTGATCGGTAGCGTCAACCAACCATCAAGTAATGCGGTTCCCCAACGAAGCCGAAGTAATTGAAGAGGTCTTTGAAGACCAAATTATGTCCAAGCAGTGCTTCGTCACAGTAAATGACAGCCGAGCTGCCAAAAGGTTTGTTCAGATGGTGGAAGAACTTGAGAGCAATGAATTGTTTGCGGATGTTGGCAAAGCCGTTGAACAGAAGGCAATGAAAGACTTGGTGCAGGTAAGAATAGATGAAAAGGACCCGGAAAAGTTCTTTTTGCTTGGCTCAGCTATGTCCAGCACCGAGAGAATAGATGTCATGGAATTCTTGACCTCTAACATCGAAGTGTTTGCCTGGACGCCGTATGACATATCTGGCATAGACCCAAACTTCATATGTCACCCAACTGCAAGACCAATCATACAGCGCACTCGCAGATCAGCACTCCACCACGCCGAGATAGTGGCAGAAGAAGTGGGAAACCTTCTAGAGGCAGGAGCTATTAGAGAAGTGCACTATCCCAAGTGGATATCCAATGCAGTAGTGGCGCCAAAGAAGAATGGAAAATGGCGTGTCTACGTAGACTACAAAACAGTCAACAAGGCGTGCCCAAAAGACAGTTTTCTCCTACCACGGATAGACCAACTGGTAGACCTAATGGTAGGACACAATCGACTTAGTTTTCTTGATGCATACAGAGGTTACCATCAGATCGCTATGTATGAACCAGACCAGGAGGTCACATCCTTTACAACGCCAAGAGGACTGTATTGCTACAAGGTCATGCTCTTTGGCCTAAAAAACGCAGGGGCAACATTCCAGCGAATGATCACCAAGATGTTCGAACCATTTTTAGGCAGAACAATGGAGGCTTACATCGATGATATGGTAGTCAAAAGCAAGGATGAGAATAACCATCTCAGGGACCTAGGTTAGATGTTTCAGATCCTAAAGAAGCACAAGTTGCGTCTTAATGCATCTAAGTGTGCGTTCGGCGTAGGATCAGGCAAATTCCTTGGCTTCCTGGTGACCAATCGAGGTATAGAGGTGGACCCTTCTCAGATCAAAGCAATTCAGGATCTAGAGAGGCCCAACTCAGTAAAAGAAGTATAGCATCTCATCGGTATGGCAGCCGCGCTAAACCGGTTCATAAGTCAGTCGTCAGACAAATGTCGACCATTTTTTCAAACATTAAAGGCCAAGTTTAAGTGGGATGAAGAATGCGACCGCGCCCTAGAAAGTTTGAAGGAATACATGTCTTCTCCACTGCTGCTAGTGACCCCAATACCTGGAGAAGAACTATTTTTGTACCTGGCAGTCTCACAGCACGCAATTAGCGCAGTGTTGGTCCGAGCGGAAGGAATCTAACATCTGCCCATCTTTTATGTCAGCAAGACATTGCTGGGTGTAGAAACCAGGTACTTACCATTGGAAAAACTAACCTTAGCCTTGATAATGGCCTCAAGGAAGTTGTCACACTACTTTCACGCCCACACCGTAATCATCCTCACAGCTTTTCCATTAAAAGCTTTGTTCGAGAGGGCGAACTTTTCTGGGCGAATCTTGAAGTGGGCAGTAGAGTTGGGACAGTTTGACATCAAGTTTCAACCGAGAACCGCGATAAAAGCCCAAGCTTTGGCAGACTTTGTCGTAGAATTCACACCAGGAAGTCATCACGTCTGCCCAGTTGACTTAACGGGTACAACCGAAATAA